ATGAGGAGAGGCGAGAGGAGTAGCTGATGGCGATCACGATCCAGTGGGTTCCACACGTGTGGCACCCACTGGATCGTGATCGCCATCAGCTACTCCTCTCGCCTCTCCTCATCCGTCGTCTTCCGGCTGGCCAAATCGGCCTCGCAGGACGTCCACAACCTCCTCAGTGCAACCTACCAGCTCTTCCTCTGGACTGTCCACCCTCTGATCTACGGCGTGAGAACCAAAGAGATCAGAGCCAGCCTCCCGAAGCTCTTCCAGAGAAACAAACTCTCCGGGCTTCCCAAATCTGGCTGAATTACCCACAATTGCATAAATGTGCCTTTTCTTTGGTGTGGAGAGAAGCAACCCACAACCCTCCCCAACGGGGACAGCCGACTTTGACCCGTTTCTAAAATATCCCCAAAAGTATCTCCATAAATTTCTATTAAGATGAAAATCCCTAAAGTCAGCAATGGTATTTTGCTGAAATGAGGTTAAATATATTTGCTGCCCCTCTCATTTCCAACAGCCCCTGAGCCCCTGGCAGAATGATAAAGTCCACTCAGTGCCCAGTGCTAGAAGGGGGAGCGGGGAGATGGTCCGTGGGGCCCTTGGTGCTCTCTGAGCTCGGCTGTTTTCTTGCAGGCGTTTCATTACCAAACTAGGTAACATCATCAATGCACTGAGTGAGTGAACCAATTGCCCTCTTTCCTTTCATTTTGTGCTGCTTTTTGTTTCCTCTGCCCAAGAATATCCTTCCAGGTCTGACAAAACAGGATTTAGGGGTATGTGAGACGGCAGGGCTGACTGGTCCAGGGACGGCCTCCTTCTTGGCTTCCAGTCTGTGGCTACTGACCATCTGGCCCTAAAACCTCCGTTGCTTCTCATACGGACCATTTGAACCCCTCGACTCCTCAAGACTGGGCTTTTTAAGGTCCACTGTCTCCAGCGCACCAGCAGTTACAGAATTGGAAGGGACCTTGGAGGTCTTCTAGTCCAACCCCCTGCCCAAGGTAGTGACCCTACACCAAGGGTTTTCAAGCTTGGGAACTTTCAGGATTTGTGGACTTCAACTCCCAAAACCTCTCATCCAGCATGGCTGCTTGGGGAATTCTGGGAAGTCTTAAAAGGGCCAAGGCTGGACGATCCCATCCCAGGCAACTGGCTGTCCTGTCTCTTCTTCAAAGCCACCAGTGATGGAGCCCCCACAACCTCTGGAGGGAAGCCCTTCCATCGATTCATTGTCCTCACTCTCAGGAATCTTCTCCTCCTTGGCTCTTTCTGTCCTTGCTGTGTTTCCATGCCTCTTGTCCTGCCTGCTTTAAATGGGTTCATACACACACAGACACACACACAGACCTCTCTGGCAGCCCCTCAAACATTGGGAGGCAGCTAGTTCATCTAGGACTTCCCCCCAAAAGTGAATTCAAAGTGACCGGCCAGCGAATGGACGCCAAGGTCTGAAAGGACGGCCCTTAATCCTCCCACTGGAGTCTTTATTGGTGTATTTGAGAAGCTGAAGGATCCCGGTCTACCTGCAGAGTAGAGCCGAATACAATAAATAGTCAAACGGAAGGCACAGATTAGGGAATGACCCGAGGGAGCCAAGGGGCATCCTTTGGCCCAGGCCCAGCAGCCCAGCCTGGCAACCGAGTACAGTCGGGATCTTAACGGAGCGAAGGTTTCACAGGATTTGTGAGGAGGGAGAAATTGTGCCAAGAACCGACTCCTCCCGCAAAGAGGGAGGCAGCGAGACGTGGGAAAGGGCGGGCTAGAAGGGGCAGCAGAACCTTAGAAGGGGTCCCAGGGAGGAGGGAGGGAGGGAGGGAGGGGGTCAGGCACAAGGAGGCATCGTCAAAGCAGCTGAACCTGCCTCCCTGGGGGTGAATGAGGAACGGCCGTTCCTCAAGGGCACTTACAGATTCTGGCTGCAGCCGTTCGACCCCCACTTCTTCCCCTCCCCCCTGACCTCCTCCCCCAATCCCGCCCTGGCCGTTTCCAAGGGAAGGCAAGTGCAGGAGGGCTACCCAGCCTCCTGCAGGCAGAGCCCCACGGCCTGGCTGCCCTGCGGAGTAGCCTAAAACTTCCTAACCTAGCTGGGGGCTGGGGGAAGGCGGAAGGAGGCCGAGGGGGCCCAGAGGCTCCTTAAGACCCGCACATCAGGCACTCCTCCCGGTTCTCCAGGGAGCAGACCATGGCCGCCGTGTTCCTCTCCTTCTCCTCCTCTTCCTTGGAGCTCTTCTCCTTCAGCTTCTCCTTGTTGAGGGTGAACTGGATGGGGTTGGCCGCCGGCTTCGTCCGCAGGTAGTACATCCCCGTCTTCAGGCCCTGCGGGAGGCAAGTGCAGCCGGCTCAAAGACCCAAGGCCTCGGCCTCAGCGCTGGAGGCATCCAGGCTAGAAAGCAGCAGGCCACGAGTTCCAGTCCCACCTTAGGCACGGAAGCTGGTTGGGTGACTGGGCCAATCACTAGGAAACCAGTTCTAGTCACTCCTGAGACATAAACGACGAGAGGGAGACTTTGGGCCAATCCCCAGGAGATGGCGCTCTCTGAGACGAGTTGCTTTCTTTCAGACATCTCATGGCCCAACTAGGGAACGTCATCAATGCTGTTAGGCAGCATTGGATGGAGATGCCTGTTCAGAGGGGGGCCCTTAGCTTCATGGCCCTCCCCAGCCCGCTGCAGGAGGTGGCCGCTTCCTCTGCCCTCCCCGCTCACCTGCTTCCAGCCGTAGAAGTGCATACTGGTCAGCTTGCCGTAGTTGGGCTCCGCAATGTGGATGTTGAGAGACTGGCTCTGGTCGATGAAGGCCCCCCGGTCGGCCGCCATCTTCAGGATGGTCTTCTGCGAGATCTCCCACACCGTCTTGTAGAGCTGCTTCAAGTCCTCGGGAATCTCCGGGATATTCTGGAAGGCAGAAGAGCAGCAGAGGATGGGTCTCTTTCTCTCTCTCTCTGGGCAGTTGGGAGCTGGTAGAAAGAGAGGAGGGGGGGAAGGGAGAGGGGGGGACGGAGGGGCAGAGGGAGAGGGGGGGAGAGGTCCCAGCAGCCTCTCTGCAGCCAGCCCGGGAAACGTGGCACAGAGGGCCTCTTTAGCCTGGGCAACCAAAGAGGAGTGTCTTCTTGGTAAAAATCTATTTATTGGTTAAATTTCTGCACTGCTTATCTCGACTAAAGGATTCTGGGCGGCTTACACCACATCACTGCAACCAGCCTGGACATGATCTGTTTCAGCTTCTCCCCTCTGGTCCCCACTATAGGGCATTGCACACCAAAACAACAAGGACAGTTTCCGCCCCCGTGCCATCCCTCTGCCAAACACCTAATTTCCACAGCCCTGTCCTATGCCCAAAGATATTTATCCATGTTGTGTGGCTGTCTTGTTTTTATCCTTGTTAGGAATATAAGTCTAACGGTTGGGTTTGCAATACTGTATATAAATCATGTAACTATGTTGTTGTACCTGTTTCTTTAAATCATACTGTAAAATGTGATTGGTTGCTGTTTCCTCAATCGGCCATAAGAGGGAGCCAGAATGA